TGGTTGTAATTATAGCACTGGAATTATAAGTTTCAGGAATGAGATTAATTATAAATGTGTGACTTAGATTAACAGTTTCAGAACTTAAGTTTGGTGTTATTACGCTGTTTAGATTGGTTGTAATTATAGCACTGGAATTATAAGTTTCAGGAATGAGATTAATTATAAATGTGTGACTTAGGTTAACAGTTTCAGAACTTAAGTTTGGTGTTATTACGCTGTTTAGATTGGTTGTAATTATAGCACTGGAATTATAAGTTTCAGGAATGAGAGTAATTATAAATGTGTGACTTAGGTTAACAGTTTCAGAACTTAAGTTAGGTGTTATTACGCTGTTTAGATAGGTAGTTTCAGGATTGAAGGTACATGTTACTACGGTGTTTAGACATATAAGTTCGTCATTTAATTCAAGGGTTACTAGATTAGAGAGATAGAATCATGATCTAGTTTAAGTGTTACTACAGTGTTTAGATATTTTCACAACTCAAGTTACGAGTTACTACAGGGTGTGTGGATAGGTAGTTTCAGCATTCAAGGTAGATTTAACTATAGCATTTAGATAGTTTCATTATTAAATTAGTGATGCTATACTGTAAGTTTATGTTGTTAGGTTACTACAATTACGTTGTTTGCATCGCAAGTAAGTTGTTTAGTAAATAAACACGCAGTTTTGATAATCTTATGAATTTAATAATCATTCTCTTCTTAACTTCTCAAATTTTTTTATATATCTTTGATTGAAAACCATCAAATATTTAAAGTCTAATGATATGAAAACATGTACACACAGAACTTTGAAATTTTTATAGTTTTGAACTAACCTAAAAAAAGTGCCATACCAAAAAAAAAATAGATGTGTGCACCTTTCCAAAAATTGGTAATAATTTGTATAAACATAAGCGATTAATCAATCGGGTTTTATCAGAAATAACCCCCAGTGGCAGAGCGGTAAGTCTGCGGACATTTAACGCTAGATATCGGGTTTCGATACCCGTGTTGGGCATAGCACGGATTGTGTAACTTTGTGCTTAGCTACAAATAAACAAAGAAAAATATTAGAAATAAATATATATATATAAATCTATGAAGAACAGGTTAAGGTATTAGGAGTTTGTCTATTTTTTATCATTCTTATTTTGTTGTTGTTGTTGATTTTATCTTTATTCAACATTTGAACTTCCAGTCATGATTATAGGTTTTGGCGTGTAATAATATGTAAACTGTTTTATCGTATCAGTTAAGTTTACATTTGATTTATTTTACTTCATAATCTCACATTAATTGTATTTTGTGACGTATATCTTCTAGTGATGAAAAATAATATTAACTTTCAAAAGGGCGATGCAATTTAATGAGTGGCGCAAGGGAACATTTTAAACGTTAACTAAGCCTCGTTTCTGGTGGTGTTAGCGAGGATATCCACTGCGTTTATTGTCATCTTATTATTTTTAACACTAAGCGTCAGATTTCTTTGCTTCGTAAACTACACATCGGTTAATTGAAACGTATTTCGTCTACTCAGGGTTCTACTGTGTTCCTGTGTATAGCAACGTGTATTATGTGCCATCAAACTGGTATTCCTACTGTTGTGAAAGGAAAAGAAGAGGCAATGGTGGCCAAAATCAAGTGAGATATAATACTTGTAATTTTGTATACATATAGGTACAAGAAAAATAATAATTGTCGCGAAATTGGTAAATTAACAGGAAATGTTTGATTGGTAGCCTATAAATATAAGGTTCTTACCAAGATTAACACTACTGAAGTAATTTTTGATAGTAACAATACCCCTGGCGAATGCAGTTTATATCATTAAGACTCGCTTCATTACACAATAGTAATTACCCTAGTAATTAAGGTATAATATTTTAAATGTAAAACTTTTGCAGAACTGATACCTCTTATAACAGTGTAAATCGTTTGGGTCTTTATACACAGATGAACCTAATATCTAAAAATTACTTCTCTTAGGCCTAACATTTAGAAATTACTTTCATGGGTTGCGTAAAAAGTAAAATTGCTTTCCTTAGGCCTAACATCTAGAAGTTATTTTCATAGACTGCGTAAAAAGTAAAATCGCTTTTTTTTTGTTTTTTTTGTGTTGTTAATTTCACTTTTACTTTTCTAATATAAAGATAAGTGGAACTTAAACAATAATTTTAAAACGTTGGGCATTTTTTTTATCACGTTCCAAAAACTAAAAGATGTATGTTTGTGAAACGGCTAGGAATTTCAAAACTACATTAATCAGTTAAAAATAATATATAAATAAAAGACTTTCAATTGTAAAACTTGTTTGACTTTGCAGGCTCTGGATCCGATGGGCAATTGTCATGTTATGTTTATTAAGCCTAACGTGGACGGCCGGCCTCCTTTACGTCAATCAAGGAACATATTTTCTGGCTTACACTTTCATGGCCTTGAACTGTATCTTAGGACTGTTTGTTTTTATTTTTTATTGTTTACATAATGAACATGTAAGTAATTTTTTATTTTATTTGATATATATATTAAGCGCGAAGAAAAGTTTCTAATTTATAAATATAATAATATTATCACTTTAAACAAAACGATAAACTTCAAAAGTTCCTAATTATTTTCGTGTTAAGTTTTCTGCTTGTTTGAATAGTTTATTTCAGGAAATAGTCTCTTGGCTTATTTTATAACACTAAAATTAAGATAACCCTTTGTGTAGATTTGTGCCACAAAGCAACCACCCTACTCCAGAGGCAACTAGGCCCGGCATGGCCAGGTGGTTAGGGCACTCGGCTCGCAATCTGCGGGTCGCGAGTTCGAATCCCCGTCACCCCAAACATGCTCGCCCTTTCAGTTGTGGGGGGGGGGATTATAAAGTTTCAGTCAATCCCACTATTCGTCGGTAAAAGAGTAGCCCAAGAGTTGGCGGTGGGTGGTGATGACTAGCTGCCTTCCATCTAGTCTTACACAGCTAAATTAGGGACGACTAGCGCATATAGTCACATTAGGTGCAAACATTTCTTATACACTTTTTAAAAAAAGCTTTGTGATATTATTGTTATATTCTCAATTAGTATCTTTTGTGCTAACTCTAACATGTTTGTTTTATTATTTTTATTACAGGTGAGAGAAGATCTTTCGAAGTGTTTTCAGCAATATGAATGGCTACCGAAATGTTTGCTTCCCACTAAGCCTAATGAACAGACAACTAGCGAGCTTCCAGGAAGGATCACCATGACAACTAACTTACCCTCAAGCCAACAGAGTGTGGGTACCTCCGTACCTCTGACTTCTCCTTCTGTTTGTTCTTTATCATCAGGTATTGCACCTTTTGCACCCATCTGTTTGCTTATACTGATGTGTTAGTACTTCGGTACAAATCTGCTCTGTTTGAAATCTAACAGCATGCATGATTAGTGTTTTATCTGATCAATATACTAGTATATCTTTCTTTGTTTCCTAGCAGCTTTCACCTTTCAGTGCTTCATGATTTTTGTAGTTCTCAGAGACTGTGTTTATTTGAACGTAGAATATTATGTTTAGCTCTCAAGGACAAGGGACACCTTTATGAACTCCGCGATATCTGTGTGTCTGATGTGTTTAACTCTCAAACATATTATTATGAATCTTATGATATCGTGTCAGATTTGTTTAACTCGCAAAGAAATTGTTGTTAATATTAGGATATGTGTATGTTTGACATGTTTAACTCTCAAAGACAAAAATACATTGTTGTAACCTTTATTATATCTGCACGTCTGATGTGTTTAACTCTCAGACAAAGGAAATTGTTGTGAACTTTATGATAATCACATGCCTGACGTGTCTAATTCTCAAAGATATTGTTGTGAACTTTATGATAATTGGATGTCTGACTTGTTTAAGTCTCAAAAACGTTGTGATCTTTGTTATCTGCGTGTATGACGTGTTTAACTCTCAAAGACATTGTTGTGAACTTTATAATATCTGCGTGTATGACGTGTTTAACTCTGAAAGACATTGTTGTGAACTTTATAATACCTGCGTGTATGACGTGTTTAACTCTGAAAGACATTGTTGTGAACTTTATAATACCTGCGTGTATGACGTGTT